GAGTGGGTGGGCCTGTGAGGAAACAGGCTTAACTTTTCTATTTTCAACATGAAAGGCTGAAAATGTGTATCATTAAGAAAACAGAACACCTCCAACAGAGCTTGTGAGGCATTGCGTTCATTAATCATCTATAACAAGGAACCATCTGATATACCAATTTACTTATATGGACATAAGGCAGTGCCACTTTCATCATCATTTGCTCTCATGCTTTGCTCCCATTGCTGGCAGGAAAAGACACGTGCAGTTTTATGGTCAACTTTAGGAGAAGCTGCTACAACCATCTTCACAAGAAATGTTTATAATGTTTCCTGCATAGTATCACAGAGGTTCCCAAATATCTTTGCTGATTGTATGCAATTCTGCAGCTCCTTAAGAGCAGCTTCTTGTCCAGCTGTACTTGCTGAGAAGAGATGGGCTACGGATCTGTTGGGTCATGCCAAACCAACCAAACAGTAAGTGGAACAACTGAAGGAAAAAAGCCAGCAATCGGATACCTCGCCTCTAAGCAGACACTTCTGCTCAGCTTATGCATGCACAGAGTCACCACAGCCAAAGTCAGCTGAAACCAGCAGAAATTTTTTCGGTGACTTCACTGGGCCTTTCTATTAGGCTGTGAGTAGGAAAATCTAATAATCTACTAATTCCCAGCTGAAATGTGAAACAAACCTGAATGTGGGAATACCTTTCCTCTGATCTCATTTTGGCCATTTCTAACAGTATTTAGTACAAAATCGTCCTTGTATGTTTTCCAGCCCTGCTCCTTGACCTCTTCACTGCAGCCTGGGCCACTCTTCCAGGCTCTCAGAGGCAGAGCCACGCACCTGCATTGGAGCTGAGCCCCAGGGACACAGCCTGAGTTATAAGGCTTCTCTTTTTCAGCCAGGAAACGTTGGTGGTTAAATTTTGTGCAGTTCAATCTGGATGCAGGCACGAGAGCAGGAAAGGATAACGTTTGCAGACTGGCGTGCAGAGAATCGCAACAAAGCGGGTCACCGTCACGGCTGAGCTAAGTGTAGGAGCACCATGCAGGC